GAATTCGGGTTTTTCGCACTGGTTGGAAATGCCTTCTAAATAGCCCGTATTTTTCTGGCTTCTAGGCTCCGACGAAAGCAAAAAGACCAAAAGTTCGGCCGAATAAAAGTCGTGACACCTCCGCTGGGGCCCCACTAGAACACCCAAAACACTCTTATGTAATTCACCCTCTACTGGTAAATCGGTATATCTACGCGTAACTGTTTATTGGGGTCGCCGGAAACCGTCATATAAATATGTTCAACATGTAAAATATTAAGGGTAGAGGGATTAGGCATGGAAATACCACTCCCATTTGAGCTAAAGCGATTCAAAAACGTACTGAGAATTGGTGCAGGATCTTGAGGTATTTCGTCTTCCTGTTCGCTGTTCTGTAGCGACGATCGCATGTCCTCGAGTTCACGTAAAAACTCATCCTCTTCCGATTCATACCTAAATTATCAGAAACTCTTACTTTATTCATTGTCAACCCACATTTTTGCACAAGCACATGCAAAAGTAGGCTGCGTTTGCTCCGTTCTGTTCGAGGTCCTGTGTAGTTCGAGCAGATGGAAGACCATGAATTTTTTACTTCATAACTATCGGCTTTACTTGCTTGGCTAACTTAAATGTTCACTTTCTTACCTTACTTCACTACTGTTACTATTACTATTATTATTTGGAGTGGTGCAGTGGCATGTGGCGCACTATCGCACTCATGTTCATGGGTTCGATTCCTTGATCGATGAAAGTATGAAGATGAAAGTAGTAAACTGTACATCGGCTGATCACCCCAATTCATTGTATAGGCCGTACACGTACACAATACGCCACTACGGTTCTTAATGGAATGTAAGAGCACTTCCTTCAGACGGGATTGATAAATGGTTTTATTCTTTGATCATTTACTACTATTACGTACACAGTATCTCTAGTTGTAGTCATCTCCGAGTGCAAACGAAATGCATTCATGGAGTAAAAAGTTTCTTTAATCGAAAATCTCTTGAAGAGCCTTGGAGTCAAAATGAATTCATGGATAAAATCTCTAAGGACAGGATTATACCGCATCCATTTTTTGTTTTCTTTGGAAAGAAATATTGTTCTCGAAGTTATTATAGCCGATCATATCCAGAGGAACATGGGTAGATTCAAAATAACTCTTCTCGCTATTTCTTTCCGCTATGGAGAAAAACGTGGAAATTTTTCCCCGTAATAGCAGTAGGATGAATGCACTAACTCCAGCATTATTTCACCAGTCGGGCCGCCCGGCTAGCGCCGGGCTTCCCTCCTTCTTATGGTGACGCCCGGCTTCGCCGGGCGCTCCTTTTTTCTTTCAGAAATTTGCTATGCGTAAATCGGCTCTCCCGGCTGACGCCGGACCCCCCTCCTTCTCGTGATAAAATGGCCTACTCGCCTGCATCTTTATCAAATTGTAAGGATTTGGGAGATGAAAACAGAGTTATTTATTCCCGGCCAAACACAAACACCCAACACAATCCGTGCGCGCCCGTCCGTCACGAACAGACCTCCTTAGAATCTGTGTGTTTGAGTAACTCGATTTACTTGTGTCTTGTTCAACCTAGGTTTCGAAGTTTACATTAACATTTTTTGTTCATGCCTCGCCTCCTGTGAGCGGAGTTAAGTCCTGCCGGCCGACATAGGTGCTTCCATCCTGCCGCTTGTATTTCTGTTAATTATATAAGCGCTCCAAATTAAAATTACTCACATAAACTCCGCCCCTTGTGGGCGGAATCCGGTCTTGCGACTCAGCATAAGTGTTGCTATCTCGCCGCCTGTACTCATACCAAATTTGAACGCTCTAGGTCCAAGTTTAAGTTTTTCACACAAAGCCCGTTCCTTGTGGGCGGAGTCCGGTCCTGCCACCCACCATAAGTGTCCCCATCCTGCCGCCTGTACTCCTACCAAATTTGAACGCTCTAGGTCCAAGTTCAAGCTTTTCACGCAAACCCCTCCCGTTGTGGGCGGAGTCCAGTCCTGCCACCCACCATAAGTAATCCCATCCTGCCGCCTGTGCTCGTACCAAACTTGAACTTTCTAGGTCCACAGGGACAGAAGTTATGAATTTTTGCCCAAAC